GGCACTGCTCTGTCTGACACTTTCTTAGACTTTAATCTAATCTTTATTTTAACAGTCTGAACAGGAATAACTGACTGTCAGCTGATTTGTGCTGTCAAACATAAAATCACATCACATTACAGTCACACGCTAACAGCAGTTTTTCATTCTCACCTTTATTGTGGAACACCTAAAATCAGGACTATGAATGCTTGAACAGGCTTGTGCTGCATACAGGCTCCTGAAAATGTGTTGTTTAAACACAATTTTTGTTGAGTTTTCAGACTATTAAACCTGCTTGATCTATGTTTGCTAATGTGTAAATTGTGTCACCGTAACTGCTGAACATTTCTAGCAAGGCTGGCACCATCTTGTGCCTCCGCTCAATTTCATGTCTCTCCAGCAACTAGGTCAGGAGTCAGAATACACTAGACGGTTTGCAAGAACCCCAGACCAGGCACCAGCCGCTCAGTGAAGAGCTATACATTATGTGTTGGCAACGATTCCCGAGATCGAGGATTTAAAGCAAAGAGAAAGTTTGATTAATTTTATCAAGGGGAAGACGTTATTGCCCTTCTTCCTGTAGGATTTTGGAAAAGCTTAATATAACAGTTAGCCTCATTAGTGGTGCATTACATACATCACAACCAAATAGCAGTGATTGGTTAAATAAAAACGTACCCGCCTACCATCAAGCAAACGAATTCTAATCTTGCGCGGTCACACGGTTTCCACAAAGTGAAACCAGCTGATGAATCAGGCTGGAACATTTCACCATAGAGATAGATGTGATGTCACCGCAAAGTATCAGTCATTTAGAGCACTGTGTAACAACTGGTAATAACATGTAATTACATTGTACTGAGGGTTAGAAGGTTGGATTACTATAATTTGTAACAACCTGTAATAAAATGGTAATTACACTGGGATAGCTTGGAAGAAGTATTTATAGGTTTTGGGTTATAGAAGTTAGGTTTAGGGGTATAGAGTTTGGGTTATGTGCAATTACAGACCATTAAAGGTTCTATATAAGGCGACATTCACTCTTGAGAGGTTTTAGCCAAGTTAAAAAGTTGCTGCTTCATCAGAAACATACCTGGAGTTGTGTTTTGTTTCATTCACACGTCTGAGTAATCTTTCATCATTGGTCTGTCTACATCTCCAAAGCTCAAAATGGTCTGTTCCACCTTGTGATGTCATGAAGCGCTAGTTTTTGCAGCTACCTTTTGCAGAGACAAGCAATTCTAGGGTTGAAATTATCCAAATGATTCTAGTGAAGGTGTATGGATCTTAAAAACACAGTAGAGCACTTCCTGTATTAACACATGACATCATAAGGTGGCATAAAGTCAATTTGAGAGAAGAACTGAGCCTATAGGCAGGGTTTCTGAGTTAAATATATGTGAGTTAAACATACCCTTTTGATGAGGAAACAGCATTATAACATACAGTAGATCAGAAAACAGCATAACATGGGCCCTTGAAAGACAATAAATGACACTTGGCACCTGTAACATTTACATTATACTTATGGGAGTAAGTATTGAGAGATTTTGAATTTAATTTCATTGTTACATCTTGTTACATCATGAGTGCCTGACATGTTATTACAAGTTCTTACACAGTATTTGACATGTTATTACAAGCTGTTACAGGGGACGTGAAATTGTACATTATTCAGATAAAATGTAATTATTAAGTGTACTGATTGAAGTGTTACCACATCATCTTCAAATTTACTTAACATATTTCTGACATTTTATCTGACAACTGGACTAAGGGCCAAATCAGAAACATATGAAACCAGAAACCTACAACCAAGTTATCCTAGGAATCCCTTAGGAGAAAGGCAAGATAAATTCCATTACACTGGCATATCAAGCAAGGATGAAATGAGTCTAAAATATCAAATATGCAAGATTTTACATGTCCCAAACCAGAAAGTGTGTTTTTGGATAGAAGATAAGGACTAAATGTTCGGTCCTGTTACAGCAAGTTAGTAATGAAATGGTAGCCTGCCTCAGACAATGGCCTCTTATGGCAAATGGGATAATATGTCAAAGTGGGACACATAATTACACAGTCCATCATGCTTTGCTCTTTTAGGCTGGCTTGTGGTTTAAGTGGAGATCTTGTAGTAATTGGACACATTAAATGTATGTTTAGGAGGTACACTTAATCCAATAGCTGACATGCCTATTATGTTGCGTATTGTGTGTGCATTTAGGTAAAGACAGGATAGTCTAAAGTTCTCCTTAAAGGGCCCATATTATGCTTTTTTCTGATCTATGTTATGTTATTTCCTCATCAAAACATACCAGGAGTTGAGTTTTGTTTCATTCTTACAAGTTTAACACACACATCCTGCATATTTAGTTCTTCTCTCAAACAGAAATGGCATATACATCTCATACAGGAAGTGCTCCACTGTGTTTTTAAACTTCATACACCTTCACTACAAAGATTTGGATATTTTCAGCCTTGAAATTGCCAATCTCCAATGAACTAAAGGTAAAATGTGGTTGTTAACTTGAAATCTACCACTACATGACATCACAAAGTGGAATAGAGCATTTTGAGCTTTGGAGATGTAGACAGACTAATAATAAAGGGTTACTCAAACATGTGTGAATGAAACAAAACACAACTCTGAGTACGTTTTGGATGAGGTAGCAGCATTATGATTTGGCTAAAAGCCCAGTTTTGTGTAATATAGGACCTTTAACAGACGACTGGGACTCTAACATAATCTAAAAGCATCTATGTCCTCAAAGGGCCCTACACTGATTTGTGAGTAACCGTAATATCACCCCTGAACTGTAGATAATTAGATTCAGGCAGTGTGTGTGTGTGTGTAGTAAGAATTTCTACTATTTATTATAGTCATTAAATACAGAATGTTTTGCACTTGTGCCAACAAATGCGGAGCTCGCATTAAACTATTTGAATTATGTTGTCCATATGTGACCATTAAGCAAGAATTATTTGTGCCTTTGTATTATTTTTAGGGCACATATCACTATTTTCTGATCTATGTTATAATGTTGTTTCCTCATCACAAACATACTGTACCTGGAGTAGTCTTTTGTTTCATTTACACATTTTTAACACACAAACCATGCATACTTCTCTAAAACAGAAAACACTCTGTACCACCTTGTGATGTTTTTATGTTTTGTGATGTTTTTAAACTCCATATATCTTCACTAGAATCATTTGGATGATTTCAGCCCCAGGATTTCCAATCTCTACTGAACAAAAGTTAAAAAGATAGCTATTAACTTAAAAACTACATGACATCATAAGCCTATGGTAGAGCATTTTGAGCTTTGGAGATGTAGGCTGACTCATAATACAGGATTACTCAAACAGATATGTTTTTGAGGAGCTAACAGCATTTTAACATGGCTTAAAGCTAAGTAGCGTTAAATACTGGTCATAGAAAATAGCTGAGTAGGTACAGCATTTGCCTACTGATTCAAAGGTTGAAGGTTTGATCTCTGCTCTGCTGTCCTTATCTCCTTGGAGAAGACACTTAACCCAGCTCCTATTGTCTATTTTGGTCTGTGAATGGGTGAATAATTCTTTAACCTTACCAATTACACCATATGATTTGTATAACTGTGGAAATGTAATGGAAATTCTGTCAACGTATTGCTGGATTTCAGATGACATCACAACATGACACAGGCCAATAATATTTAATACAGATGACTACAGATACAGCTAAAATTTGTATTTCTAAAATGCAGTTTTTTGTGGTAATACAAGAAGTTAATGGGATTAGTCACAAATAGAAATCCTCAGGTTCATCCGCCCCCATTATTGTGAGATAGTCATGTTTCATTTGCTTTCAGTCTCTATGGACGTCCAGGTGACTCAAAGACCAAATATTGACTGTACAAACACTGAATAATACTAGCATGTTTCTCATCCACTCTAAAAGTTTCCTCTTTTGCAGCGCGACTGTGGATTGTGGAGTATGATTCATGTGTTACCGGCAGACCAGTTACTTCATTATATCTGATTGTATCTAGAAAAGCACTGATAGCTATTTAAATGCACATACTCAGATCCTCCTTTCTTCTCCGTCCAACTCGTGTCTAGAGGCTGCTGCTTGAAGATAGCCACCAGATGGACAATAATACGGACACAAACAAATACGCAGATTGTCCTGAAGATAGACAGAAATTACATAAGGTCTCTTTTTATGTACTAAGTGGCTCCAGTGTTAAAATACAATATAAACATTGATTTGATTAATACATCATAAGGTTTTACATCTTGTACTCCTGTTTACGTTTTTACTACTTAATCTGACAAATGGTTTAAATACTAAAATCTTCAGTTGTGTCCCAAAGCATTTTTTCATGACCTCAGTATTTTTGTATTTTAGTATGTGCCACCATCTAGTGGCAACTGAAGTTAAAGTTAACGTGACCCTTTTGATAAATAAATGAGTAGTAACAGGAGAGATTGAGAGAGATGAGATTTTTTTTCTTTAGGTTTTTATTCCATTCCATTTTCTTCCGCTTATCCGGAGCCGGGTCGCGGCATGTTTTCTGTTCCATTATCAGCCAGGCTTCTAGTCATTGTCCTATTCCTGTCAAAAATAAATAAATAAATGAATTTTAGTCAGTAATAATAATAATATCTTTTTTGAAACTGATCTTTTTTGTGTGTGTGATTTGGGGAAACATAATTACATTACATTGTATTTTCAAAATGACTGATCTTCAAAAAGTGCAGAAAACTAACCACCCCTACCACAAATGCAATATTCACTTTATTAGAAATCTTTATAAACGCTTTTTGGTGTTCTAAATAGCTACTATAGCTAGAATATGTTTGTTTTTGTTTTTTTATAGTTAATTTATTACTTTGCCTGAGGTTTTCTACAGTATAGTTTTAAACTTATCCACCTTTCATTTATGAAACTAAATCTGTTTTTATTGCCAAAATCGCTTTGGTTTGGTGGAGTCACTTAATTCCAGGAAAGGTTTCACACCCTTTACCTAATGTTAATGTGCTTCATTGTGTCTCCTTGCAGATGATGGCAGTATGACCGCTCGGGGGTACACTGTGGGGTCCAGCTCTCCTCTGATGATTTCCAACATCAGATTCTGCAGAGTACACAGTAACACCTCCTCTGTCAGGTCGGCTAGCTCGGGTCGGACTCTCTGCACTTTCATAGTACTAGAAACTGAAATATGGGAAGTTTCTTCATCAGCTTTCTGCGGCTTTGATTGATCTGAAGACTCAGGTTTGTCTGAGGAATGTACGGACGGGGTTTCTGGGAGGTTATAGTATGTATCAGGAATGGATGCCAGGTCATCAAGAATTGCTATATCTTCAAGAATATCTCTGGAAATTAAAAAATAAAATAAAAATCATTAGTTAGTTATTTTAAATCAATATAAAACTTTTAATAAAATATAACATCACTACAAAGCACAGTTTAAGTATTACCTGAGCAGTGAAGTGACCACATGAAAGCTGATGTCTCTCATTATTTCTTGTGCAGTTGATGATTCCTCTTTGTTAATAATCTGGGTTTTGGTCTTTCGATATATTTGGTTGGGTCTAAAAACAAGAGACATTGAAACTATTATTACTTAATTCTGTTTTTCTTCTTCAGATTAACAAATCAGAACTTTATTTCTTCAGTTCGAAGGGAGGAATTGTATTTCTCTAGGCAGCTCCATGTACAAATAATAGGCAATAAAGTGCAGAGCTAAAAAAAAAAGTGCATGCAATCAAATTAACATAAGAAGAATATTTACAAAGAATAATGATCTTGACTATTCAGGACTTCTACTTTATTTTATAGTAATATCATTATTCAAAATCCAAATCCTAGGTATATAAAAACTGTAATACAAGAACACAAAGTTGGTATTTTGAGAGTTGTAAAATGCATTTATCCCAGTCATAAGTAAGGAAATGCAGACAATCCTAATTTACCTGATACAAAGAAGATGTAACAATATACTGTATCACCAGTGACCAAGCAACAGTAGTTTGGGTATAAGCTGTACCTGTATTGATGCTCGAGTTGATCAGGTGAATGTGTAAGAAACTCCAGATGTCCGTAGGATTTTGCAGTCACCCACAGATGGAGCACACATGGTTTTGGAGGCTCAGGGTCTTTCTGAACCTTGGCTAACTCCCTCAGTGCCCTTCGTTCTGCTCTGGAAACCTTTGTGCTTAAAGATTGGACTGTATTACCAACATTACTGCCACGGATAGGAGGGAGAGTCTGAAGAAATCATAAAAAAATACACTGAAAATTAGTGGTAATGATATATGTTATGTCAATAGAGTTATGTTGAAACTTGACAAATTCAGAGTCACCGTATATTTAGCTTGCTGTCGTAATGCAAGAGCTTCGGCTTTCTGTAACAAAACAACAAATATTTACAGAGAAAATGAAATAAAATGGTTAAAGATTTGTTTTGGTTACCTTTTCAGTCAGAACCACTTTATTTTCCTTTGGGGGTTTATCTGTGATGATGAATTCATGTTTAAGTCTTTCTTTCTCTTCCTCCATTTTTTGCACTGCGTAATAATACTGGCTGAGGGCTGTTTCAGAAGTGATCTAGGGTGCAAGGTACGATTTTAAAGATAGGTACAGTAGTTTGGTCAGTAACTACAAGGTACACACAATAAAGCAATACATTATAGTAGCCTACCTTACAGATGATATCAAACTGGTAATAAATGGGATACTCTGTGGCAAATAGGTTAAGAACCAAATGACCTGTTTCACCTGGGGATAAATTTCCTCTGTTTGGAGTAAGCTCCAGCACCTGTTGCAGCCAAATACAAAATACACATATATATCATAGTTGTAAAAGCTCAGCATTTAATAATTTTACTTCTCTTTAAGGATTGCGTAAATATCTTCACATAAATAAATAATATAGGTATGAGTTCACTTGCCTGTGATTGGTTGTTTTGTGTAGGTAAGACCCACTCAAAGATAACTCTGTCATGGGAGTTGTTGGTGAAGAAGAGCATTCTTGACGATTTGGAGGAGACTACAACATCACCAAAATCAACGCTGTCCACGGACAGAGTTATTGGCTATATGGACATAAAAAGATCATATGACCGGTTTAAACACTTGATATGACCAAGCTGTGGTTAACTGTACATATAGGGGTCCTTACTTGCTCAGGAAAAGGTTCCTTCTGCCAGCAGGGTAAAAGAGGAACATCTGTGCAGTCATTTGAGTTTGATGGATTCTCAGTTAAAGAATTTATTCCACACCCTTCAAACCTGACTATAGTAGATTCTCCATTTAGGACATGAATAGGGATATCCATCTGTAACATATTTTATTATTTTTTCATATTTCATTTAATTATTTATTTATATTTTTTATTGTTTTATGCTTGCACCAAACTCCGAAACCACATTCCAGGTTTAGGAGTTTTTGTTACCTCAACAGCATCTTTTCATTACAATATTAACACATATTGGTTAAAAGAATAAACATCAACAGCAGCACCTCAAACTGGGTTAATTCAATGCACGCACCTGGTACAGTTTAGCTTCCAGCGGAGAGAAGACCCACTCCAACGTGGCTGTCTCCCCAGGTGGGATCTCTCCATCTGGGTTGAGACAGCGCAGCACCAGGTGGTTAAAGTTTTCCTCCTGGATCTGTGAAAATACTGCTTTATCCACTTCATAGTGCACCGGTACTGCTCCCCGGTTATACAGCTGATACATCTGTAAATAAAATACAAGTTTAAATAGTTAGTAGATAATAGATTAATAGATAAACAAATAGATAATAGATATTTTGGATAAATATGCTCACACCTGTTTGGGAGGGTTGTGGTTTCCAATTGCAACAGAAACAAAGACATGTGTATTGGAGGCAAAATGAAGATATGGTCTTTCCACTTCCACTGTTATGCCCTGAAAGGTAAGCTAGTCCAAAAAAACAAACACACAAACCAAAAAAAAAACTTAGGCTTAGATAAATATACAATTCATTACGATATTTATTTATTAACGTATATTTATAAGATGAAACTTAGCAAACATTAACTCACCATGATCTCTCTCCCATAAGATATTTTAAGAACGACAGGAAACCAGTCTGTTCCAGGAAAGTCATGGCTGTGTAAGAAAGTATTATATCAGTAAGTACAATTAAATATTGTTACATTGTACTCCGTTACCTGTAAGTAAAGTTTACTGCCCTCTGCTGGCCAGCCATCAGTCGTCCAGAGCGCGGTGTAACACTGAACACGTGGTTGTCTTGAACCTTTTGTAATAGTAACATATGAAAATCCCTCAATAGTACCTTTAAGAATACTTATGATTAATTTTAGATAATGCTGAGAAATGACCTTCATCTGGTAAAGCTCTGTGCTGCTAAACTCCCCTGTTTCCGCCCAGAACTCCAGGTTGAGCTGTTGGTCGTCTGGGAACAAGAAGGCCCTAATAACACAATTTTTAAAAGTCAATTTTAAATATGCCAAATTAAAACATTGAAAATTTATCTTATTCTGTATCTGTAACACTTTGACACTTACCACTCAACGGGGATGGTGCCAGGGTTATAGAGCATTAACATAACAGTTGAGGGTTCTGAATGTAAAATGGAAGCACTGAAGCTAAAATCCACAACAGCTTTGGTAAAGACGGAGGGAGTGCGATACAGGCTATTGGAGAGAAAAACACATCACCATATTATTATAGTAAAAGTACAAACAGAGTGCTGCAAAATAACACAGCATTTATTTGTAGGGGTGTAACGGTATCCAAGTCTCGAGATACGATATTGTCACGGTATGAACCTCACAGTACGATATTTATTGCAATATCATGGGAAAGCTCACAATATGGTGGGGAGGCTCACGATTACGGATGTAACAATATCCAAATCTCTGGGTACGATATTTATTGCAATATTTTGTGGAGGCTAACAGAATTGTTAATGTGCTACTTTTTCCTCTTAAAATGCCTTGACAAGACTTAATCCAAAGAACTAAGACTTAAAAGTGCCAAAAGTAACAAAAGAATTGTTATTTCTTCTTCAAAGGATCATGGTCTATGTAGTTCCCTCTGTCTTTTTTAGCTATTGCTGCACCATAACTCTTAATTTAAGTAAAGAGATTTATAATTTGATATATTGTCATGGCCCACGATATTACCGTGAGAACTTTGACAATACAATATCACAATATTTATTGTTATTGTTACATCCCTATTTATTAGTATTGAGTAATATGCAGGAACTATCCTTCAATTTCAAAAACTAAGTCTCAAAGATGTAGCATGTAACTTCTCTGGTGGATGGTCCGTCACCTGCTTTTCTCCATGGAGATGTTATAGCTTTGTCTGAAATATTTCACAATGTGGCGTTAAATCTTTTTATCATCATGGAGACTAAACCAGGCTAAGTTACTAGTCATATCTGTGGAGAATAAACTCTGCCAGTTTTTCTAGGTACTTTTGAACAAATAAGCTGAGCTGTTTAATGTCTTACTGTGGAACATTTAAAGCAGAGTACTGACATATCCATAGAAACAAGAGGGTGGACAGATCCCCAACTAAAAATGTATATAGTTTAAAATAGACTTTAAAGTTAGTCATCTACATGAGTCAGTATGAAAACAAACATACGATAACACCATGACATCCTAAGGTCATCACCTGTGCCTGGTAGGAGTGGGATAGGTCAGTTCGGCTTGACAGGGGCTGTACTGTAGAGACTCATTCAGATGGTTCAGTGACAAGAGACTCCATAAGTGCTTCTTACTGAACTGAGACAAACTGCCTCTTCCACAGACGTCACTAATTTGCAATGTTGGATACACACCCTTGGCATGAACTTCGCACAGTAATTTGGCGGATGACAATGATCCTTAAAAGATGAAAGAAAAAGTAGGGATTACTAAATTCAGTGATCACTGAGAAATTATTGTCAAACTTCTCTTATTTCTTACCATTGGCATTTATTGTGTGGTAGCTGATAGTCCATATATATTGGGCTTTTTGATGTGGTGTGATCGTTGACTGAAGTAGGGCTGTGGATGTTGAGGTAATCGTCACCCTTTCATTATGGACCTGTAGGGCTACGCATAGAAAATACATTTTTTAGTAATAATTTGTAGCAACTAGCATGACTTTATAGTGAATAACATTTATGAATATAGTGATAGAGGACAAGATGGCACATAGCTAAACCGCTGGTATGGAACATTGGGGCGCTTCAAGCTCCATTGACTCTGTTTCCAATTGACTTTACATAAAAAAATTGTCACCCCTGTCCCTATGACCTGCCGTGAGCCTCATTTTGGTCTTAAAATGTTCATATTAACCCGGTCTACATGATGCTGGTGTTATTATTTCGTTATTTTGTCCGTAAATAAATTCCTCAACTCTAAATTCGCCCCCATCATAAGCTTCATTTGACCCTAAGCATCATGGAGCAAAATGCTATGGGTGACGTCACTCTCCCTTAGTCCACATAATATTAAATTGAACATGATTTACCACATTGATCAGTATTCGGGTTGGATACAATTCCTTTATCCAAAAGTTTTTGTTCCACTGTGACACAGAAGGAGACAGTGCATGGACTTTTGTTTATCACAGGGATGCTAATTGTTTTGCATCCTCCAACCAGAATGTCTTTCACTTTTACCACTGCTTCTTTTGCCTATGAAACAAAATTTAATATATGGATTCCACATATTGGTTAAAAGACATACATTATATCTACATAATGAACAACTAGGAGTGCAGTACCTGTATGTAACCAATGCAGCCTACCCCAGTCACTTCAAGGGGGAGATGTAAGTTGTCATAGTCTGGAAACTGCTCTGGACAAATGCTAAGGCTCGGCTTCAGTGTGTATCTTTTCTCTTCTAATGGAGTGAAGGTCCACACGTAAACCTTTAAACAAAATTATGACAAATATAAAATTTATTATTTGATATATACATGTAAAACCATTTTATTCCCTCACCAAGCTCTCATTGGGATGTAGCACACCGGCATCTGGCTCAACAGAGATAAGTCCTCGCTTCTGCTCTGGAATCCTCCATTGAAACCTATCACAAAAGACCATCACAATCAACCAGCTTTGAACAGGAAGCCACAGTAAACTAAATCTACCATAAAATGTTAAATAAATATCTGAAAATAAATACAAATTTCCACAACCAACCGTAGAGCTTGACGACTGAGGTTTCTGATATGGTGGCGGCGTTGTGTCATAGAGTTAACAGCAGTGGGGTGAAAATGCAATTTTCCTTCACCTTCAAGGGATACACAAGGTAGCTCGGATTTGCTAATTATTTCAAGTTTCTGAAGAGTACATAAGAAAAGTTAATTTTATCTTCATATCTTCATTATACTGTTATTAAATTTTACACAACAGTATATTTGCTAGTGGAGACCGAAACACAGTTTCTGCTCTTTTAAACACTGTAGATGGATATACACACCGATAAATAAGAAATGAATAGAACACACAAGATAAAAATAGATATCCATGGGTTTCAGAGGCATGAAACATTAGCACTGGACTACTTAAAACAAAATACTATATCTTTTAAATGGTGAAATGTCTTCAAAATATAGCAGTAAATATGAACTGGAAATCCATTCATAGAATTTAAAATAAAATAGATTTATAGTTATCGTGATTAATTTCTATTGTGTATCCATAAAGTTTGCCTAATTCTATACCTTGAAGTCACAAGAATAATGTATATTCTCTGTGCATTTTGAAGCGTTTAAATCCAGTTGCACACTGAAGCCTTCTCTGGGGCTGTCTTCAGTGGGGATGGATCTGAGCGAGAGGATCTGATGAGAGTGTGGTGGGATCAGACCACAGCTGGGGACCACCACTAAAGAGGCGGCTTCAGCCAACTTCTGATCATGCTCTCGGTTTAAGAGGAAGGTAAGGGGGAGGTTGCCTTTATTTTGGAGGACGACTGAGCGGTAAGAGGCAATGTTTACTGGTGGGAATTCCTGAAAGAAATGGAAAATATATAAGTACTACTACTACTACTACTATCACCACAAACATAAAAGATTCACACATGCAAATAGGGAAATGCGAAAAGTTGTGCTGTTCTGATGTGATTCTTTACTAAAAGCTCAGCCCTCAAAGGTAGGTAAGTAAAAAGTGTTTACATTTAAGTAGTTTCCAAATATGTGTTATTATTATTATTATTTTAATCAAATGTCATTTCTTCATTCAATAGAAACACAAGAGAAATTCATTCTTGCTTCTCACCACTAGGCGGGGCCCAAGGGAACATTGTGGTACACTGAGCTTTTTATCTGGTTCATATGAATGACCAATGGCTCTCACAGTCAGACAGGAGGGCAGCAGACTTCCATTGCACTGATCATTGTCCTACAATAGAGGAAAAGAAACACAAGTGCTATTTTACAGTATAAAATACAGGACATGTTAGTTAGAGTCAGTGCATGTAATTACCATGGGGTATGCAAAACACTCTAGTTGAGCTCCATGCCAAGAGTTGAGTTGTTTTGGACAATAGATCACTCTGAAGGAGGTCGACTTTAATGGTGGAAGCTCACAAAACGGAGGAGAAACAGAGAAGGACAAATCTGGAGCAAGTGTCCACTCTAATCTGGAAATTCAAAACTAGTTATACAAAGAAAAGTAACAATAATAGGACATTATAGACTGCTATTACCTGAATTTTACTTTGCTGTGGTTGGTAACAGTCATGGACTTTTGAGAAGTTAGATTTTGTGGTAGAGTGAAGAGTTGCTGGTTAAAGACAAGCTCATTTGGTGCAACAGACAGAAGAGGAGGAGGTGGGGAGAGTGCATATTTGCTATCAATGCATAACAGAAAATACTCGGACATTGGAGTCACAGCCGCACACGCACCACTGTCTTGTTCTTCGGTCTGAAAAGAAAGTTGCAGTATGAAGCAAGTGAAATGTATATATAGTAGGGCTAGAAAATTAAGACATATTGTACTTTTGGGGGAAATTTAGCACTAAAGTACAACATAAGTCACTTTATATTATTTTTATTGTTGAAAGTGGCTGTGGCAACACTTTTGAATCCTACATGTATTAGCTGTAGCTGTCTCAATCTTTATAATAATTGCAAGTAAATACAGAAAAGTCTGTGGATGGGATAGGGGATAGGCGAAAACATTGTTAAAAGCTCATAAAATGTTATTTTACACAAATCCAGGTTTAACAATTACTGAGTATATTGAGATATATTTTTTTAGTATCTCACCTCATGGATGCTGCTGGATTCCAATAGTAGCTGTTTGAATGGCTTCTCAGAGTGACAGTTACCAACAAGGTTAAGGAATACCGGCTCCTGCAGAGAGAAATTGTGGATATATTTTAGAAACAACAGGAACAAGACTGAGATTATATGTTTCAGTAAGATTACAGTCTTTATAAATCAAAACTACTCCACCTACTCTGTGTAGGATCAGACAGGCCACTCTCCTGTAGTGAAGAATAGGTTGTGTAGGTTTATACGTAACATGCAGGGTGGTGTGGCTATGTGGGTCTACAGTGCCCCCTGCTGGCTGGATAGAAAACACACTGTGGCCACTGCAGTCAATATCCCACTGAAAAACAGCTTTGGCCGAAGAGGAATTAACCAGCTCCACTGCATGTGTCACTGCCTGTCCTGGTTCAACAACACCAAAGTCCACCTCAGAGGAGGACAGCAATACTTGGGGACCTATGGAAATAAAATTCCTCAGATAAATTTTCTAGAACATTTGTGTGTGATGAAGATGAGATTTTCTTGGTTAAATTAAAGTCAAACAAGTATGGCCATAACTAACAATACATATTTTGTATAATGGCAAATTGCTGTTTTTGGTCTTCAAATCAAACAAAATTGTTATATTATGACTATCAGTTATTCATAGTACACCCCCATATTACTGCTTCATAACCAATACATTAGAGCCTTTTCTGTCTAGTTTTTAAAATGTTGAACAGTGGCTAGATAACACTTATATATAAAAAAAAGCTTTTGTGCAAACCATCTGTGACCCTTACCTATACAGTTTCCAGTGAGTTTCAAAAGACTTGTATTGATAGCTCCTCTGTATAATAATGATAAATACTCCACTGAGGTGCTATTAACTGTAGTGGGAGTAAAGCTGGCCTTAGCCTTTAGTGTTGCCCCAGGAGCTACCTCTGCACGGGTCAAATCGCACCCAAAAACAGAGCCTAATAGGGGTATACCACCAGGCAATCGGGAAAGAGTGCACCAGACAGGAACCTGAAAGAGAGAAAGATTATGTAAATAAGACACCATTGGATTTTGCATCTTTGTTATTTCTACACAATACTCACAGGAGAAGGGTTATAAATCTCAAAGTGGCTATGCAAAGTCTGTCCAACTGCAACACCACCAAAATCCAACACTGGTACATGGTCATTTCCCTTATTGTGAGTGTGAGTTTTGAATTCAAGATACGGGTGCTTGGCTGTGAAGAGCAAAGATGAAAAGCTTAAAGGTGCATTATGTAACTTTTCTGGTGGAGGGTCCATCACCATCTTATCTCCATGGACATGTTATTTCATTGCCTGGACTGTTCCACATTATGACGTTATATTTCTTGCACTTATTCAGTTATCTGTGTTTTTTTTGTTTGGTTGTTTTTTTGTTGTTGTTGTTTGGTTTTTTTTTGGGTAAAAACACACTGAAAAACATGCATTCTAACTCTGAGTGGATTTGCTGTGTTGGGTGTTTAATACATTACTGTGGAACGTTCAAGGCAAAACCTTCCACTAGAAAAATTACATCGTGCACTTTTATAACTTGCTTATCATGATATGAATGTTTTTGAAATTTTTTTTACTGTTTTAAGTGTTTTTTGTGGTACCTGTTCCTTTAAGGAGAACAGTGCTGCAGCCCTCTAAATTGTCTGCCTGAGTCCCAAACCTGCAGGAAACATGCTGCTGGTGGACCAGAGCTTCTTGAGGTTGGAACATCACACTGATGTTAAGTCCTTGGCCTGGCTTTAAATAGCCTTCGTCTGGACTCAGCATGAATGGTGGTGAATACTCCCAATGGAAGAATAAGGTAAGCTTACTGTCAGAAAGAAAAGACAATATTATATTTGAACACACAGAAATGTACATCCAATATACATCATTAGGCCTGTCACCGTAACACATTTTGGAGTGCGATATGTTGATGAAGTAAATACAGATGATAAACGATAATACTGAAACAAATTGATGTCACTGACACAATAACCCAAGGGCAGATTTGAACTAAAAATTATTCTAAATCTACAATACTGTTAAAAACTATTGTTACTTAGTTTGCATCTGTAATGAGCCATAGAAGTTATTTATTCAACATTTTATGGCTAAAATCTTATCACAGAGCCAAAAAATAAAAATAGTGCAAAGAAAAAGTACACAATAAATACTGACACCAAATATTGTTCCAGCTTTCATATATTGAATGATAAGTTGCTATAGTAATTATTGTGACAGGACTATACATTGTGAATCATCACAAAAAGTATTGAGCTTCAGATGATAGTACATTGGTTGAGGATTGTGTACCTGACATTTTTAAACATAAAAGTGGTCTGGGTAGCGTATTGAACAGCACAAAGTGGCATCAGCACAGACTCTGGCACTTCAATGTTGGGGCAAGGTGCTGGGGCTCTGAGCAGGACGTGAAAGCTATCATTTCTGTCTTGAAGCTCAATGGTATCTTCATAGTCACACTGTAATAATACAATACAAACAATAGATTGAAATACAACTGATAACAGAATTTGAATATAGTAAATGTAATGTTGGTATGAATAAATTATCTTACCTTATTAAGTGGCTTAAATGTTACTGGGATTGGGAACGAAGTTCCTGGTCTGAGAACAATTGTCTGACGAGTCAACGATGTAAAATACTTGGAGAGTGGAGGCCTACATAGGGATAAGGGTAAACAATTGTTGTAACATATACTATAGCCTACAACTGACAAAACAAAAATGGTCAACCTAAATGATAATCTTTGCAGGACTGGCTGTGTGTTCCTTATTATTAAAGTCTTGGTGAACTCTTTCCCCAGGTCCCAGTTGTTCCAGACCAATTCTGTGTCCATCTCAAAGCCCAAGAAACTGCTTCGTTGGCTGAAGGCATGTCGCTGTCTACCATACTCCACTGTGTGATCTCTTAGAGAGTCAAACTAAAACAAAAGATCACATAATTATAACCTTTTTATTTGTGTTTTTGTGGAATTCCATGAAATATATATACTACTATGCAAATGTTTTAGGCAGGTGTGAAAAAATGCTGTAAACAACAATGCTTTCAAAAATATAAATAATGACTTTTTTATTTTTTTAAATCAATTTACAAAATGCAACCTTTTCTTACTACCTTTTGCCTTCAAACCAACATCGGCTCACACAAAGGAGTACAGATTATACTCTGGTGTATGATCAACCAATTATTCCAAACAGGTGCTAATGATGATCAATGTCACACGTAGGTCAAAAGTCATAAACTGAAACTAAAACATTGTAGTGTTGTGTGTATTAACACTGGGTGAGGAACAGCCATACACCACGGCAAAACTGAGCACAGCAACAAGACACAATGTAGTTATACTGCATCAGCAAGGTCTGTCCCTGACAAAGATTTCAAAGCAGACTGGGGTTTTAAGATGTGCTGTTCAAACTGTTTTAAAGAAGCACAAAGAAACGGGCAACGTTGAGGATTGTAGACACAGTGGTTGGCCAAGGAAACTTAGTGCACCAGATGAAAGACACATCAAGCTTATTAGCCTTCAAAATCGGAAGGCAGTGCCATCAGCTCAGAAGTGACAGAAACCAGCGGGACACAGGTACACCCATTTACTGTCTGGAGAAGTCTGGTCAGAAGTGGTCTTCATGGAAGAGTTGCAGCCAAAAAGTCAAACCTCCGACATCAAAACAAGGCCAAGCGACTCACGTATGCACAAAAACATAGGAACTGATTGCAAAAATGGCAGCAGGTGCTCTGGACTGAGTCAAAATATGAAAATATTTGGCTGTAGCAGAAGACAGTTTGTTTGTCGAAGGGCTCGAGAGTGGTACAATGATGAGTGTCTGGAGGCAGTGAAGCATGGTGGTGGTTCCTTGAACGTTTGGAGCAGCATTTCTCTCTGACTTGGAGATTTGGTCACCAAGACCCCAAACATAGAGCTGAAGTCATTAAGAACTATCTTAGCGTAACAAAGAACAAGAAGCTCTGGAAGGGATGGTGTGGCCCCCACAGAGCCCTGACCTCAACACCATTAGTTCTTCAAGATGTTTGAAACAACCTACCAGCCGAGTTCCTTCAAAAACTGCAAGTAAGTATACCTCTAACAACTGATGCTCTTTTGAAGGCAAAGGGCGATCACACCAAATATTGATTTGATTTAGATTTCTCTTTTTTTCAAAAATGAAGATTATGATTTACTTGGAAACTTGGATTCTCGTCAAGCAATGGTGAAATCCAGTGTCGTTGACCAGAATCAAGACGATGGTGAGGCCGAGCTCTTGTTCGCATGGCTAGAAGATAACAGATAATGGTTTTACAAATTAACGCACTGTACTTTATAATACTCCAATGCTAGCAAGCATACAGTCTATGCTAACAGTTTAAAAGTAATGCTAGCATTAACTTAGATGTAATCCCACAGATACAGAACGGTTCTATATAGTATTTATGGATGTAATCCTATAGACTGTGTGTGTATATATATATATATATATATATATATATATATATATATATATATATATATATATATATATATATATATATATATATAATGGACATAGCTAACACACAAGCCGCCGCGTTCCACCGTGGTGAAGTTAGTTTTACGTTAGACGTTCGATATTCAGTTACGCATCAACAGCGGAGATGTTCATTGCCTGTGCCCCGCTTGCTCGATCACGGTGCGGGGAGCTGTACACCAAAGCTCCGCTGAGTCCGCGAGTTAGGGACCGTCAATAAATTACAATTGCATTGAATGGAGTCTGCTAAAAAATAATAATAATAATAATAAAATACATTAAATAAGAAAAAAAGAAAAAGGGAATCAAATAAAAAGAAACAAAAAAGGGGTTGTGCATGTACGTTTTATAAAATATTTGTTATTTTTATAGACATTTTTGCTTATAATCATGCATAGAATTTAAAGGTTTTATGGAGGATTTTTTTTTTGTTTCAAGTTGTCAATGATAGCATTATAGAGGTGCAGTAGCCTTGTAATTATGATGACCAAAAAAAAGAGAATAAAAATTCATCAACTCTGGACGTGGTGGGGCTAAACATTTGCCAATAGATAACGACACTGCCTCGTTATCTGTGAGCTGACAGGCTGTCAATCAATCTCCCTACGTTTCTAGCGTAACTGACTTGCCTGCGCGCTGCCGGTACGTGGTTTACGTACACCTGTCACGCAGTCCACAGACGCAAGCCGCACAGACGCTGTTTACTCCACCAACGCAACAGTTCTTAGCGGCTTTTTTTGACCTATATCTTCCTCGCAGTTCGCACAAAGTTTGTTGCAATGGCAGACAAGAATCCAGGAGCAGTTAGCCACAAAAGAAAGTTTTTGAGCGTTTTTGAGGTCGCTGAAAGAAGAAGACAAGGGGAAAAGCAGCGAAGCCAAACTAAGGTGATTCTTGAAGATTCATTCCAGCGATGGCGCGACTGAAGCAGACGAAGGGTCTAAAGACTGACACACTGGTCCACAAATTACTCCTGGACAGGAAACTTCTGCTTATTATGAAAACGTACTTTATTTCCAAGAGCTAGTCAAACGTTTTTCAGGACACGAAAGCGATATCCTATGTCTGAAAACGTAATTTTCAAGGCAAAGAAAGAGTCCGCTTGCTGCTGCATGTTGTAGCTAGTTCACATTCGCACGGAATCTCCGCGCAGCCTTCTCTGCACCCCTTTCCTGCTCCTGTCCCCGCTCCCCGTTCCGCTCTTCTCCCTGCTCCTCACTTCTCGTCCGCGAACGAAATGTCCGCACACCCGCTCCCCCCGCTCCTCACTTCTCCGTCTTGCCTAACCAACACTGTAGTTAGTTGTTTACAAGTCATGTGCAGCGCACCGGCTGTAAACAAACCTGTTTCTGGCGTAAAGAGGAGGCGGGAGGAGGCGTTTCTACGTAGGGAGCTGTAGGGGAGGGGGGCTGGTTTCACGCATGCGCAACATTTGAAAAAGGACAAACAGTCGCTGGAATTCTCGTTCCTTGGAAAATCCTCTATACAACCTTTAACCCCCGACTTTGGTCCAAGTTTGATAATGTTGACATTTCATGTCTAAGGTAGGGGGGGCTATACTGTTCACTTTTCATATGTTTTATAGTTTATTATATTCAGACCAATATCCCGCATTAGTGATTCAAATTTCAGCACAATCGAACTAAGCATGTCCCTGTAATAATTTTAAAAATATTTTTTGGGGGATTCTTTGCGCTCCTACTGGCAAACCGTGAAAAATGCATCATGTCCGTAATAGACTTTTTTGCTTGACATCATGCATAGAATGTAATTTCTGAATTTGGTCCAAATCCGATAATGTTGTCGTTTCATGTCTATGCTAGGGGGCGCTGTAGAGTTCCCAGTTCATATGTTTTATAGTGTATTATAATCAGGTCGAAATCAGGCATTAGTGATTCAAATTTCAGCATGATGGGACTAAGCCTGTGGGTGTAATAATTTTCTTACTATTTTTTGGGGGAGTCTTTGCGCCCCTGCTGGCCAATGGTGGAAAATGCATCATGTCCGTAATGAACTTTTTTGCTTGTAATCAAGCATAGAATTTATGCCCCGAATTTGGTACTAATCCGATAATGTTGATGTTTCACGTCTATTCTAGGGGGCGCTATAGAGTTCACTTTTATTAAATTTCATATTTCATTACATTCACACCAGCATCACGCAATTGTGTTTTGAATTTGAGCTCTCTAGGACAATGCCTGTGCCGTGACAGGTCACCGAAAAAACAGGAAATGAAGGTGTTATTCGCCAGCGTGCTACGGGCGAACCGTAAGGAGTATCCCAAAAAAATTTGGCAACATCTGTGAGTTCATGTCTGTAGATGTGACATGTCAAATTTGAGCTCATTTGGACCAAACCCCGGGGACTTGAATCTTTTTGTAGACCCCCAAGTCAAAACGGCGGCGAATGTTTGATCCAATATGGCCGACTTCCTGTTCGTCATAGGGGCGCACAATGATTGACTTTTTTGCTTGTAATCATGCGTAGAATTTAATCCCCAAATTTGGTGCTAATCAGATAATGTTGACATTTCATATCAATGGTAGGGGGCGCTATAGTGTTCACTTTTAATATGTTTTATACTGTTTTATATTCAGGCTGAGATCACACATTAGTGATTCAAATTTCAGCACGATCTGATTAAACATGGGCATGTAATCATTTTTTAACTATTTTTGGGGGGAGTCTTTGCGCCCCTGCTGGCCAGTGGTGGAAAATGCATCATGTCCGTAATAGACTTTTTTGCTTGTAATCATGTCTAGAATTTAATCCTCGAATTTGGTACTAATCCAATAATGTTGATGTTTGTCAATGCTCGGGGGCGCTATAGAGTTTATTTTTCATATGTTTTATAGTGTATTATATTCAGGCCATGATCAGGCATTAGTGATTCAAATTTCAGCACGATCGGAGTAACCCTGTGGGTGCAATCATTTTTTAACTATTTTTTGGGGGAGTCTTTGCGCCCCTGCTGGCCAGTAGTGGAAAATGCAATTTTTCCGTAATAGACTTTTTTGCTTGTCATCATGCATAGAATTTAATTTCCGAATTTGGTCTAAATCCGATAATGTTCACGTTTCATGTCTATGCTAGGGGGCACTATAGAGTTCACTTTTATTAGATTTCATATTTCATTACATTCACACCAGCATCACGCAATTGTGATTTGAATTTGAGTTCTCTCGGACAATGCCTGTGGCCGTGACAGGTCACCGAAAAAACAGGAAATGAAGGCGTTATTCGCCGGCGTGCTACGGGCGAACTGTAAGGAGTATCCCAAAAAAAGTTGGCAGCTTCTGTGAGTTCATGTCTGTAGATGTGTCATGTCAAATTTGAGCTCATTTGGACCAAACCCCGGGGACTTGAATCTTTTTGTAGACCCCCAAGTCAAAACGGCGCCGAATGTTTGATCCAATATGGCCGACTTCCTGTTGGTGTGCGTGATACCTGAGGAGTAGGATTACTATAATAACTTGGTTTGGAGTTGGTAGGTCATCTGCCTTAGAAACTATTGAAAAAAATCACAGATTTTCAAGATTAAAAATTCCTAAAAATTCCACAAAGGGTTAATTTGGAAAACCAAAAGGTGTGCATGATACCTGAGGAGTAGGACTACTATAATAACTTGGTTTGGAGTTGGTAGGTCATCTACCTTAGAAGCTATTGAAAAAAAAATCACAGATTTCCAAGGAAAAAAATCCCTAAAAATTCCACAAAGGGTTAATTTGGAAAACCAAAAGGTGTGCGTGATACCTGAGGAGTAGGACTACTATAATAACTTGGTTTGGAGTTGGTAGGTCATCTACCTTAGAAGCTATTGAAAAAAAATCACAGATTTTCAAGATTAAAAATTCCACAAAGGGTTAATTTGGAAAACCAAAAGGTGTGCGTGATACCTGAGGAGTAGGACTACTATAATAACTTGGCTTGGAGTTGGTAGGTCATCTACCTTAGAAGCTATTGAAAAAAATCACAGATTTTCAAGGAAAAAAATTCCTAAAAATTCCATAAAGGGTTAATTTGGAAAACCAAAAGGTGTGCGTGATACCTGAGGAGTAGGACTACTATAATAACTTGGTTTGGAGTTGGTAGGTCATCTACCTTAGAAGCTATTGAAAAAAATCACAGATTTTCAAGATTAAAAATTCCTAAAAATTTCATAAAGGGTTAAATTGGAAAACTAAATGGTGTGCGTGATACCTGAGGAGTAGGACTACTATATTAACTTGGTTTGGAGTTGGTAGGTCATCTGCCTTAGAAACTATTGAAAAAAAATCACAGATTTCCAAGGAAAAAAATCCCTAAAAATCCCACAAAGGGTTAATTTGGAAAACCAAAAGGTGTGCGTGATACCTGAGGAGTAGGACTACTATAATAACTTGGTTTGGAGTTGGTAGGTCATCTACCTTAGAAGCTATTGAAAAAAATCACAGATTTTCAAGATTAAAAATTCCAAAAAATTCCACAAAGGGTTAATTTGGAAAACTAAATGGTGTGCGTGATATCTGAGGAGTAGGATTACTATAATAACTTGGTTTGGAGTTGGTAGGTCATCTGCCTTAGAAGCTATTGAAAAAAAATCACAGATTTCCAAGGAAAAAAATCCCTAAAAATCCCACAAAGGGTTAATTTGGAAAACCAAAAGGTGTGCGTGATACCTGAGGAGTAGGACTACTATAATAACTTGGTTTGGAGTTGGTAGGTCATCTGCCTTAGAAACTATTGAAAAAAAATCACAGATTTCCAAGGAAAAAAAATCCTAAAAAT